TGTTGTTTTTTCATATACCGTTAGCCGCGGCATAGCGACTCATAGATCATATCTGAGTTTGTTTGTTTTTAGCCGTGGCATAGTGGTCATAGAATGGCTCTGAGTATTTGTTGTTGTTGTTGTTGTTTTTTCATATACCGTTAGCCGCGGCATAGCGACTCATAGATCATATCTGAGTTTGTTTGTTTTTAGCCGTGGCATAGTGGTCATAGAATGGCTCTGAGTATTTGTTGTTGTTGTTGTTGTTTTTTCATATACCGTTAGCCGCGGCATAGCGACTCATAGATCATATCTGAGTTTGTTTGTTTTTAGCCGTGGCATAGTGGTCATAGAATGGCTCTGAGTATTTGTTGTTGTTGTTTTTTCATATATCGTTAGCCGCGGCATAGCGGCTCATAGAACATATCTGAGTTTGTTTGTTTTTAGCCGTGGCATAGTGGTCATAGAATGGCTCTGAGTATTTGTTGTTGTTGTTTTTTCAAGTACAAATTTCTAGCTCATAGCTCCATCATCTCTTGACCGATTTGAGATATAATTACAGTTTTGGATTTAGGAGGTCAAACCCTTTCGATTGATGTATTTGACCACGCCCAAAGTTTCAAAGATTAACTTACTCTAATCCTGCATGAAAGAATTTCAAGTGCCGTGGCTATTGCGGATTTCGCCTTGTTACATGTTGAAAGCTAAGGTATCTATTATTGAACGATATACTTTGACTTCTTCATACAATATGAAACTTTCAAGTTTAGTCCAGATTGGTTTCATAAAAAAGCATTAACTACATCTATGTACGAATCTATATTTCATCTAATGCTTATTTACCTCTAAAAATTATTTTAGAAGCAGCTTCAATACATATAAGGTGTGAAACACAAATAAAATATACGCAATACCATGTAATCTACCGTTTCCTATTGTCTTCTTGATATTTTCAATAAAGTACAAGCTATTTCACTAGCTGGAGTAAAAAAACAAGAAATTCTATCATTCATTTTCCTCCCATAGATTCTAAACAAGATAAAATATATATAGCATTATATTAAATCTTTTAAATGTCTCTTAGAATATAGTGAAATTCAAACACGCAGAATCGAAATTATTTCTTCCCTTTCTGAAAATTGCCTTCCTCGTACTGTAACATGGGTATAAAACACGATTCCTCTCTCTTTCTTTTTTGTGCGGAGGCTGTAAATTGTCTGAATGGATAAATCAAGCATAAATATTTTACCTATCGTAACGCATCGCATTCCAAACAACCGTATTACATGGATATTACGAAAATAAAAAAGTTATCAGTTATCTTAACCATACTATTCCAATCTTATCATAAATCTTAATTTTCCAATTTCTATTATTTTAACCGTACTTTTACTTGAATTTTCTTTCCTGCTTTATTTAAAAGGTATTTTATGTTTTAACCCTCATCATCACACCTTTGAACAGTTACGTTGTGGAACACCTGGGGTCCAACTGGACCCCAGCACAAAATTACCATTATAATAAGTTCTGGATTAAACTCCAAAAACCCAATTGCATTATAACTTTAATTAGGGTGAGCATGCAATGTGAACAACATAAAAATATATGTATTCCAGAGAAAATATCTTGACAAATCAAGAAATTACAATATTACATTGTTCCTCAGGATACAAATAAGTAGTATTAAACCATGCTGCCAATACTTTTGCGTATTTTGGTTTCTGTCTTTGATGTTATTTATATTTTACATGTACTTGATGTTTATACAGAAATTCAACATCTCCATATTGTTTCGATGTAACTCAATAGACATTATGGAAGTTTTGCGAGCGATAAACGTTTTCTAAAATAACGTAAACATATCCACAAATTACACAAAATAGGTATCTTATATTATAATAATACAGAATCTATTCTATGAAATTCTCCTAAATGAGCTATTCCTTAGTGTGTTTCTGCTCAGTTAAGTGTGAAAATGAAGCTATTGTTCTACCCATGCGCATAATCAAACGTGTAATTATTTTTACAGTGAAAACACTTTACCTTTCAGGCAGTTCCCAGATTTGCTATTTCTACTTTGAGTAAAGACTAACGTATAAGTGATTAGATTCTGTATCTTAAAAATGATTTGACTGACTTTCTGGAATTTGCTATTTAAACATAATGATTAGGGAATTAATACAAGTAATTGTAAGCAAGTGCTGCCACATTGTTGTTATGTTTTTTTAAATCAAAACTGGAGAAATACATGTTCTGACATGTTCAGACTATATCAAGTTGGCCGTTTCTGGGAACATCCTATTATAGAGCTTATGAAATAATTATAAATTATCACCCAAATAAAACATTATTAGAGCTTCTAGAGCTTGTTTTAATACAGTTAAAAAGTTAAACAACCGGAGACATCCAAGAAAACAATTTGGACATTTTAATATGAATTAGTTCGTCTTTGAATTATCAAACTTAAAATGAAGATATATATATATATAATTAAATTATTTCACACCTGTGGTGTTCAAGATAGGAAAGGTTGAAGTGGCTTTCCGATTGTTTTATAACTAACGATTACTTGGATATACGTTCTTTGTAGTATGTACACATGTATAACTATAAAAATTGGTATCAGCTTCTCAGCGACACCCACACACCTAAAGGGCATGAAACTTGAAAAAAATATATAATTATTAACGCTTAAACTTTTTTCTTCTTTGGCCATATTTACTTTTTCTATTACATCAGGCCAGCATAAAAAAACGCTTATATCTAATAGGGCTTAAACAGCATAAGTATTGCAATGAAAACAAAACAACAACTCTATAAAACGTTTACTGCAAACTTTAGAAAATGGAGCCTACAGTGTTACTGACCTTCCTGTTTAAGGTCTATAATTATTCCAGTTTTCGTGTAAACCTGTTTTCTTTTTTCAAGAAATTAGTTTTCATAATATAAATAAATATATATATATAATGTATATATGTGTGTTGAGAGAGAGAGAGAGAGAGAAAGACACAGAGAATAGTTCCTATTGCCCTGATCTTTCTTAAACAAACACTTAATATCTTAATGTTTATAATTAAGATCACAATCAACACAAATAAACTCCAGTAACAACAGACTCAGTGTCAGAGTTGACTGTTCTCCGTGTGTTTACTCAGAATTAGAGTGATGTGCGTGTTACAATAAATTACACAGTTAAAAATACATCAATTTAACTTGTGTATCGGGAAACACCAAGTAATACAAAATGGCAGAAAAACCTTTTTATTAGCTTCTTTACATTATATTTCAGAAACCTCGAGAACCAAATAGAATGTGAATAAGCTAAGCAGGTGTTTTTCAGTTGTTTTCTTTACACAACAGTCTGTCTAAGTGATTGAATCGGAGAAGTTATATTTAAGACAATAGTCTGTCTAAGTGATTGAATGTAATATGTTATATGTAATGGGCAATCATTGTTTTTGACGCATGGAAAGGTGCAAAACCAGATTTTCGTATTCTGTGGTAATCTATAACATGACAAGCATTTCTACATAATAACAATAGCATTTACTTCAAAAGATCACGTATATACTTCAATTTCAGCCTGTTTGTTCAGAGCCACCAGGATAGTTTACACCAACAAGCCATCAAAAACTGTATTTTATCTACAAGTGGAACGGTACGAAAAATTATCGTTTTAGAAAGTTATTTATTCTGTTTTATTAT